GAGCGTCTCAACAAGACGAATCCAACGAGCCCAAGCTTGCGCAATTTCGACATCATTAAAGTACTCAAATGCTCATTAAATGTTGTTTGATTAGAGAAAGCTCTCCGGACCGACCAATTAAAATGATTCATATTCATGCATTAATGACACCCAAAACTCTATAAATAGAGCCCCACCCCTCACATGAGGGGGGCGACTTGAAGTTTGAGAGAGAACTAGAAGCTCTGAGAAGGAGTTGAAGTACAACACCATCCCAACCATCATTGATCACCGCTGGTCGTCGTCGACACCCGTTGATCGTCATCAGCCGCTATCAACCGTCACCATTGATCACCACCGACCATACTTCTTCAGTCATCGTCGTAGGACATAAGGTCATCACTACGGTCCATGTGTAAACAACGACTGACGTGGTTCACAGCTCGTGCAGCTCCCGACTCTGACCCACGCGGCCTAGGGACGTCATTCATATCTGTCCCTACGGTCTACGTGAGTCATAGATCGTGCAGCTCCCGACTCCGACCCCCACAACCTACGGACGTCATTCATGCTCACTCCTATGACCTACGTGATTCACAGCTCATGCAGCTCCCAACTCCAGTCTTCGCGGCCTATGGAAGTCATTTATACTCGCCCCTAATGCCTATCTGGTTCACAGCTCATGCAGTTCCTGAATCTGGCTCCCGTGGTCCACGGACGTCGTTCATACTCACCCAAATGACATACGTGGTCATCAGCTCATGCAACTCCCGACTCCGGCCCTGACAGCGTACGGGTGGCCTACGAATATCATTCATATTTGCCCTTATAGCCTACATGGTTCACAACTCGTGCAGCTCCTGACTCTGGCTCCGGCGGCCTACGAACGTCATTCATACTCGCCACTACGGCCTATGTGGTTCACAGCTTCTATAACTGCTTACTACAGTTTTTTTGGTCTATCAACGCTTCTGGAGCAACCATGTACAATACTCACGAAGGACTACTACCTCAACAACAAGCAACAATGACCATTGCAATATGTTGTCACCAAGAACAACATCTAGATTATAATTATACAACTTCGTAATTTCATTTTCCCTAATTCAGGAGAAGAATGAACTTGTATACTCATCATTCATAGTAGATTATTTCAACTGGACTAGGTCCCGTGGTTTTTCCCTATTTCAAGGGTTTTTCACGTAAAAAGTCGAGTTGTCTCCTCCTGCTTACTTCTTTTATGTTATTTATGTGTGTTGAATTCTCATGCAACGCTAAGACTATAATTAATTACTCTACTGCCGCGAATTTCCTGGCAAGCATCAATTTAAACTTATTATATTTAAAAAATTAGTATTTATATTACTTAATCATCTTGATTAATATAATGCTTGACATGATTCATTAGAGGAAATGGGGGCAAAGTGATATATTCCAAAGTGGCATCAAATTACCTTATTATTATTAATAAAATTTTAGAATTCAAGGGTTGTTGTTCTTTTGGACTGCTTGGAAATGCCGATTAGTTCGAAGTTCTCTTTTCAACTTCATTTAGTTCTTTCATTCATCCTGGTGGGTTGATCTTGCAGTATAAGGATAAGGATAAGCCACGGCTACATGAATTCCAGCTTTCGTTAATACTTGCATACAAAAAACAAAGGAGAAAAGTATTAACTTAGAATGAGCTCCCAGAAGCAGAAGAACAGCCTTAGAAGATATTCCCCAACCTTAGAAGAACAGCCGCTTTTGCTCACTTAGTGATCAACAAAGCTTGGTGCTAATATGAGCCTACATGATAACTCAATTAGAGGTTTTCTTCTGCTTTTTCCCATGCAGGGCAGTAGCTAATCATGGTACACAGCAAACACATACAACCAAAGCCTAAACTTGTTCATTAATATTTGAAACTCCGATAAGTAGATCCTTCTTGATAACAAGATACAGGCAAAGAGGTAACTTTGAACAAGAACTCGAGCCGCAAAAACCTGAAACACATCAGCTCAAAAGAGAATCATGAATCAAATTTTAAAACACATACAGAGAACAACAGGAAGGACTGGCGGTCAAAATTCATGATCGCTAAATATTGTCGTGATTGGGTGCTATATCCGACCAGTTACCAGAGACGCGGTGAGGCCAAAAATGTTACTAGAGAGTACTTGCTTCTACACACAGACAATTGAGATGAGCGAGCTCTCTGTTCATCAATTCACCGATCAAGAAGAAGGAAAATATAATAGGTAATAAGCTGAAATGTTATGGTAAATTTTTTTCAAATTAAAAAAAAAAGATATAATATAGTTCAAAATGATTTATTGAAATAACAAAAATATATATTTTTAATATTAAAATATTAAAAAGAAATAATATAGTACCGACCTCTAAAGGCATTAGGCGTGTTGGTTCTTAGCCAACCCTAGGTTGTAGTGGCATTAGACGTGCGGGTTCGATCGCCCGCATGGGGTGCGTGCGTCGACAAGTGCCGGCGCGACGGCGCATCTGTGTGATTGATCACTTGTTTTCCTAGAGGTGACTTTTAGGTTAGGATTCTCCTTTCGCAGAAGAGAATCGTGAATCAAATTTTGAAACACATCAGCTCAAAAGAGAATCGTGAATTAAATCCTATGTTCTAGCTTGGTGGGTCCAAATTATTCATCTTTTGGGATGATTCCATTAAGCAAATCATAATATGTCCAAGTGTTCTCCGAGATTCCCAAAAGATCATGAAAAGTCTTGGGTAAAACTCTAGACATTTCACAGTCTCTCGAATCGTCTCGAGTTCATTTTGGTCTTATTATGTTTGCTATGTTAACAAAATACATGCAAAGAGGTAACCTTGAACAAGAACTCGAGCCCCAAAAACCTGAAACACATCAGCTCAAAAGAGAATCGTGAATCAAAGGGTGTTTGAAGCTGGATTATTGTTTTATTGAGTCTTATGTGTTGAGAATTTGTCAGAGTTGTTGAGTCAGAAGTGGTTGATGTTGTTTCTTCCTTGTGGTGAAGACTTATGTTGTGTTTGATGGAAGTTGCTTCAATTAAAAAAGTTCAATGTGTATTATATTAGGAGTCCTGATGCAAAATGCATGAGGACTAATCATTGTCAGTCATATGTACACTCTAGATTCCCTTAGTAAAAAAAACTAAATCATTTGATACACTTTCGACTGTCGGGTTGAGTAGTACATGTGACATGCAATGATTGGAGTCCTGATATTTTTTTTATCAGGACTCCTGATATAATTTTTTTTTTTTTTTATTGAGAGCGCTTAATGCGATTCTTATTTGTGGTGTTGGCTTCCATTCTTTAATTATCTTTCAAAACGTTCTTACATCTTCCTTACTTTTTCGAATTAGTTTATTTTGGACTCCCTGTTTAGGGGTTTTTTTTTTTTTTTTTTTATTTTTTTGTGGTTAGTGTTTATTATTTATTATTTGAATTTATATAAATAAATTTAGGTTTGATCATTATTTATAAAAAATAGAAAATAAAAAAAAGCGGGGATCCGCTGTTTCTTGAAAAACAACAAATTCCTATATGAGTGACATCCATTGTCCGCAGAACTCACGTGGCTGCAAATCAAGGGCTACAATCACATCGTACAATAAATATATATAAGTCTATTGCAGCAATAATAAGCAGACGCACGCAATGACGTAAATACCTAAAACCGTTCATCACACGCAACCACGAGCTGGCGATAACTACTCAAAACAAATAGTCCTCGCATCCAATCCGTCAAAACTACACCGCCTTAGGCAACGGCTGATCTTGTTCCAAAGTTCTCAATAAATACCAACCTCCGCTACCATGTTTTTCAGCGCTAGGGTTTTTCCTATCTTTTCGTGTCTGGTCAGCGGAGGAATTTGCTATCTCCCTCTCTTCCTCCTTTTCGTTTTTCTGTACGGAAGGCGTGGGCATGTCGACCTTCGTTATCCGATGGGGGCTTTTCATCTCCTTCGGCGATATCTTCGGCCCGTTTGATCGATCTGCTATTCTATATTAATCTTTTTTCGCTAGATCTGTCCCTCTTAAAAGTTTTTCAGGATTCCTTTTCACTTTGCGTTTTATTTTTTGTTATATATCTTCCCACAGTGGCGGCTGATGAGTTCTTGCGTTGCGATATGGTGTCAGATTCCTTAAGTTCGCGTCTAAATTAAGTGGAATGAGGCCGATCTATTGCAGTCCCGCCAGATCTCTTTTTCTATCGGGAAAACCCTATTGTTTCTTTTTTATTTTTAGATCTGTTATTTTCGTGCAGATGATTTTATTTTGATTTTGCGTTGTTTTTTTATGAATTCTCATTCTACAGTTGCTGGTAACAACTGGGTGGGGTGTTCGATACCTTGATGATGTGATCGGTATATCGAGGAGGCGTTTCAACAGTATCTGTTTGACATGATCTTTTCGGCAAAATCAACCTGTTTTTTGGAACTCTTTTCTGTTTTCCTTGAATCGTTATCTAGTTATCATCAAATCATCAACTTTTTTTTTTTTATTTTTAATTTTCTACTGCAGTTCCATTTGATGACTTTGGGGTCGGTTAGGATTTCAGCATGTTCATTTCTTCGCGGCGTTACGGAGATTGAGGCCGATTTATTGAAAATCAGACAAGACTTATTTACTTTCGGGAGATACTTTCTGCCTTTTGTTTAAATTGTTCATTTCGTTTGGTTTGCTTGTGCGAGAAATATTATGTGACTGCTACATAGATCTGATACGTTGTTATTTTGTGTTTGTCTTATTTGAAACTGCAGTTTCTGGAAAAAATTTTGAGGTCGAAAACCTATGTCCTGTGATAGTCTCGGCCAACTCATGCCCATTTTTCTTCAACCAGAGCTGACACTTTAGGCTGTTCATTCAACCTTTTAAACACTTTTTTTTGCTTGCCTAATAATTTTTCATAGACTTTGTTGAATTTATGTTTTTGAGGGGGGGTTTGTTGTGTCAGGGTGCTTGGTTCGGTATGTTGGTGCGGATGAACGCTAATATGGCGCAACTTAAATCGGTTTGGTTAACTTTTTTTGTTAATATTTATCGTTTTTTTTTCTTTTGTACTATCAGGGTTTTCGTTTGCATGACAATTTATGTGTTTTTTGGAATATTTGGATTGTTTTTTGTTTAATTTTTATTTTGCAGCACTCCATGCTGATATGCAAGATGCCAGTTTCCTCGATTCATTGTCCAGTATTCTGAGTCGGGCTGCTGGAATTCAATCAAATTGTAGAGAAGATTCTAGCGTCGGAAGAATAGGATCTTAGTGCCGTTGAAATATTCGCTTGGGCCTATTCTTTTAGTATAGATGTAAACGTTGAGCACAAGTGAGAATCAAGAGGGTAGTGGATACACTTACGAAAATGGAAGGTACAACATCTTGAGGACATGATTACTTTTTTCTGATGTCGGCCTTTGCCATGTTGGGTGAGCTCGCATGGCAGGTCAAACATAATAATACTTCTATTTTCTGTTTTGCGGGGGGGTACGGGGTAATCCTTTATCCCGTGTTCTCCTTGACTGTCTTTCTTGTCTTGTTCTTTGCTCAACTCAAAAAGTCGTCTCTTCTGTTCAATTCCACGCGTTGCGCAATTTATGGAGGTTCATGTCTACGTGCGATTGTCCTTTAAGTTCATGTGGAACGTAGCAAAACATTTTAATTCAAGCCCTCGCTGCGCCCTCCATAATAAAAAAACTGCATGAGAAGATTCATCTGGAAGAGGGAGAGGGAATCACCTGGGCTACAGATTTGTCGGTTAGTAGATAAAATAATGTTTTGTTAATAGTAGTCCATTTATCTTATATGAGATTCCGGAACTGTGATATTTCCTTAGTACTATGGACTGTTATTCTGAAAGTATTCGGGGGGTAATTTTGTCCGGCATAACAGTTATTTTGAAAAGAAGCAAGACTACGCCTCGCAAATTAGTTCATCAGTTTGGGTCTCTTTCTTGCTGCATCTATGCAAAAGACTGCCTCGCAGTTTAGTTCATCAGTTTGGGTCTCTTTCTTGCTGCATCCATGCAAAAGACTGCCTCGCAGTTTAGTTCATCAGTTTGGGTCTCTTTCTTGCTGCATCCATATGCATCCAGGGGTTTCTAGAGAAGATTTACACCGACCTTTTGAGTCAGTACTCGACATTTTGAAGTTGATTATATTTCAAAGAGGCATGAGCTTATGACGAGAAACCTTGTTGATTAGTGTTTATTGCTTATTGTTCTTCTAATCTTGTTAGTTTTAAGTTGAATATAATTCACGAACTAGATGGTTTTTTTTGTTTTTGTTTTGATAGTTAATTGGTCAGTATTGTTCTCTACCGAATAGTCTTTATTCTTTAGATGCATTATTTGTTTTGTTGGGGCGTTCATTTGAAACTATTGTTGTAATCAGAATATTAAGAGTGATGGTAAGATCAGTTGACAAAACGTCTTTTTCTTGAAGCACAATGTTGTTTATAAGATTTTGCGGTTTGTGTTGTTTTTAAGTTTTCCGTTGGAAGGCTGATTGAAATATTGGTAGATTAAAAAGATTGATTAAATTAATAAATTTGATATAATATGTTTAATCATTTTTTTCATTTTGGTTATATCTTCTCTTTACTAGAATTTTGAGTTGTTAGATGTTTACATATCTCTATGAAAACAACAGGTCTTCTCATTCGTACATGTGCCTTTCTTGAGATTGAGTTGAATTTAAAATGGTAACTCATCACAAAGTCGATGTTTGAAATGATTAAATTATTAATTTTGTCCACAATTAGAGCTACACCAATTGTATCACCAATTGAATATCTCTAAGCATTCTCTTAAATTTTATTTAATATCTAAAATTTAAATATATTAACCTACACCAATTGTATCACCAATTGAATATCTCTAAGCATTCTCTTAAATTTTATTTAATATCTAAAATTTAAATATATTAACCTACACCAATTGTATCACCAATTGAATATCTCTAAGCATTCTCTTAAATTTTATTTAATATCTAAATTTTAAATGTATTAACCACCTTATTTATATAACAAACTTTCTAAATTCCTAAGGTTTAGAAGAGCTTTTGTGATGGGAGCTTTAAAATTTATTTGGTATGACAGTTAAAAAAAAAAACATTTTAATGTAGAGTGCCTTCATGCCCGGCGTGCACCAATTATAGTTAACCACTCCTGCTTGACTACTATTCACGTTCTAACTGTTGGCCATTCTAGTTGTGAATTTCTATTTGATAAAATTTTATGCATGAAATTGATTAATTTAAGATAAAACACTACATGTAAATTAAGAATGAATTGGGAGAAAAAATTAAATTTACCAGAAAGCATGGCCCCGTCTATTTCATCACCAGGGGAGAAGATTTCAAAGTTACTATACAAACTACTATTCCAATCACTAAGGCTTATGATCATAAATAAAGGGCAAGATTTACTCTTCTCATCCATCCAAGGAATCCACATCCATCCTCTCCACTCCACCCTCCTCTCTACTCCTCCCACATCCATCCTCTCCACTCCACCCTCCTCTCTCTTCTTTTTTCTTCTTGTGAAGGTCAAGAGTTTGTAAGTATATCTATATCATATAGGAAGGGTCTGTAAATATTTTTAGTATGCTAGTACATATGTAGCAAGTTTTCTTTAAAGCTTTTTTAGAAAAATTTTCTAAGTGATCTTTAGCTACTCCACTGGCAGATTTTTTTGGAAAACTCTTTATCTATTTCGGTGTGGATGGAAGGCAGGCCTATATTTGAAGGAGGATTTTCAATGCAAGATATAAAAACATATCTCTCAATGGCACATGTGTTAACCACTTTATGGTTTGGGTCTTTAGCAGGTCTATTAATAGAAATTAATGGTTTATTTTCAGATGCCTTGTCATTCCCCTTTTTTTCATCCGGATGAAATTCTTGTATTGATAAAAAATGAAGAAGATTTTAGATACAATTCTACCTAACATGGCGTTAGGGTTATGCTGAGGGCAAGGCTCTAAACTTTGTAAACCTGCTGGTAACGATAGGTGAGCAACAATGAAAAAAGTTATTGAATTGGCATAGAAAGATTTTTTGGTCCAAAGAAAGTCTCCTTCATAAGGAAGAACTCTTTCGTAGCCTTAGTTGTTTTCTCAAAATCCCCGGGGTTCTCACCACGCCCCGTGACAAACACCTGTATGGGTGTGACAATAGCCATTCTAGAAGGCTAGAACTCGCCCACTTGATCCTCATCCTGTGAGGACCATAGGAAGGCATCTAGCTAACTAGAGCTCATACCAAGCACCAGTTTTCTCTTGAGTGTGGTAATTGCACACATATCATGGTACATACAGATGTGACAAGATGACTTGATTGTTGTGAGTAACGTATCAAAACTATCTCTTCCATTTGATCATCCTTTGTTTGATCATCCGCTTATGGCGGAGAAGACCCGGGAGAGGCG